ATTAAATATAAAAGAAAAACTAAAACTTTAGAAGACAATGTGGGAGACTATATGACTCAGGGAAGAAACATCTCTTAAGATATAAAAAACAATATAAAGGAGAAGATTAATAAATTGGGACTACTGTTATGGTAAAGATTTCTGTTCTTCAAAAACAAGCCTTAAAGTAGGAGTTAATTGTGAGACATAACCTCAGTAGGATTAAAATATAAAAAATATAAAGAACTCTTACAGGGCGCCTGGGTGGCTCAGTCAGTTAAGTGCCTTCTGCTCAGGTCATGATCCAGGTCATGATCCAGAGTCCCTGCTCAGCCAGAAGTCTGCTTCTCCCTCTTCCTCTGCCCCACCCCCAGCTCGTGCTCTCTCCTTCTCTCAAATGAATAAATAAAATCTTTTAAGGAAAAAAAAGAAAAACTCTTACAGATCAGTAAGAGAAAGGCAACCCGGTGAAACATTACACCAAAGACAGGAATAGACAGGAATAGGCATTTCACAGAGGAAGAAGAAACCCAAATGGCTCATAAACATTGGAAAAGATGCTCAATCTTTTTGGCGATCAGGGAATCGCAAATTAAAACCACATTACCGTTTATCACCCACTAGATTGGCAAATGTTAAAATATCTGACAATAATAAGGGTTAGCCAGAATGTGGAGATTTAGGAAGTCTCTCACACAGCTGATGGAGTGGAAATTAGTGTAACCACTTTGTAAAAACAAGTTGACAGTGCCTGGTAAGATTGAATGTGCATTTCCACTCTGATGTAACTCCTACACATGGCCACCAGGAGACAAGGAGAAGAAAGTTTATAGCGACATTGTGAATGAGGGAAAAATGGAAACAACCCAAATGTTCATCAGCAGTGGAATGGATATATAAATTACGATGTAATTAAGCAATGAAATACAATCAGTTGGTGAAAAAATGTATGACTTACGGTTACATATATCAATATGGATGATTTGTAACATAATTTTAAGTGAAAGCAAGTTGCAGAAAAATATATCTGTCTATATAGATTTTAAACATGTATTAAACCATGTATTATTTATACATAATTGCTAAAATATAAAATCAAAGACATGATTAACACAAAATCCAGGATCTAGGTTACCAGGAGAGGAGCAGGGGCAGTGGGGGAGGGGGCTGTTAGCATAAGATCCCACAGCAAGCTTCACGCTTCTGAGCAACTGCCTTATTTCTGTTTCTCAGGCAGAAGAGTGGGTAGGTGGGTATTTGTTTTATAACTTTTTAAACTGCATATACACATTTTATAACCTCTGACATAGTTTTTAAAAACTGTAACCTGTAGTATTTTTAAGAGATGGTAGGACATGTTTTGAAATTAGGTAATGTGGATTATTAAAAATGCACGAAGTTTGCAAATCATCACCTAAGAGTGTGTTGGGAGGAGATGTCCTTTTTCAGGTTAGGGCCTCTCCATATGTTTATTAGTTTGAGAGTCCAAGTGACGGGAAAGGTACAGAGACATAAAATGGTATCTCTGGCAGAGTGGCTTAAACGAGGTGTGGAAGGCACCAGTCCCTGCACCTGGGCTGCCTTTCTTCCTCACTTCTGTAAATATTTAGTGACTGACTGCCAAGTCCTGAGCATTGTGCTAGGGGCCCAGGAGCCAGAGAGATAATGTCCCTGTCTTGGAGCTTCTAGCTGTTTTCGGATTCATGCTCACAGGTTTTGTTAATCTTAGCCTCCTAGACTAACTAGGTAGCAAAATTCACTTCAGGTCCATATCCTAATTTACTCTTTGATATCTTTTTAAGGAAGTCATTTATTTACATATTTAGATAACCTAGTTGAATGCATTGTCTTTGAAATTTTCAGAGTAATATATCCTTTTTGGTCTGGTCCTACCCAGTTAATATTCTAATTCCTATATATATTTATTCTCAGTGTTTTTCCCTTTCTGTGCATATCAGAACTCTTGCTAGGTTCTAATTCTTTGGAATTGATTTTAATGTTTTAATTTTACCTTTCTATCTTTATTTTTGAGACTCAGAGTTGGATCTGATCTTGAACCTTGAGTATTTTCAAAAGCATTACAAGCATACTGCTAGAGATTATAAGGTGATACAAAGGGAAACATTATTTTAATAGTCATGTAATTATTTTAATTTAATTTATAATTTTATTATAAAATATACATGTGAATTCATGGCTGTTTGTGCCCAGGATGCGGCTAAAGTCTCTGTGATAATCCGTCTGACATAGACTGCATGAATTAATGGCCCAGCTGGTTCTCAGACACAGCAAAATGTCATGAAATTAATACATGGGTTACAGATGTAGCATTTAGTTGTAAAGGTGAATCAAGGTATTCTCTGATGTCCTTGTCTCCTACTTGTGTTGTAACTCAAAAAATAAGCTTATGTGGTTTGGTCAGGAAAAAGCAATCTAGAAAATTCATCTAGGCAAATTGTACAAATAACATACTCTGTTATAGGACAGATTCTGGGGCTATAAAGATGAGTAAGACGTAGATTCTACCTTTCAGGAACGCCAGTTTCACAGATATAGGCATGTAAATTAAAAAGTGCACCATAACGTAAACGCAACAGTGGAAATATGTCCACTGTAAATGGGTAGCTGGGAAAGGTGGTCTCTGACTTATGGAGCCAGGAGGAAAGTCTGCCCAGGGCAAGCCTTGCAAGTAGTCTTGAGAGCTGAGCAGAAAACTTACAGAAAAATAGACTGGCAAAGGGCAACCTCAGAAGGGCCCATGCCAAGGTACAGAGACCTACAAGAACATGGCGTTTGGGCTAATTGAGCAGCTCGTCATTGATGCTAGTGTGAGGAGAGGTGGGAGCCAGATATGAAGGCTTTTGTATGGACTGTGATGGTGCGCATTTAGATCTTATTCTATAAGTGATTATCAGCCTTTGAAAGGTGTCAGGCAGAAAAGTGTGACATGAGGTCTGGGGGCAGTGTAGAAAACAGAGGGGAGGATCAAGTCACATTTCAGCACATCGTCCTGCAAAAGGAGGATATGGAGAGCACTTGGAATGTTTAGAGTTTCTGCTTTGCTTAGCTTTATATGATTTTTTTAAAATTTTTTTATTGTTATGTTAATCACCATATATTACATCATTAGTTTTTGGTGCAGTGTTCCATGATTCATTGTTTGTTCATAACACCCAGTGCTCCATGCAGGCTTTATATGATTTTTAGGAAATTAGATTACATTTAGATTTTGCCCAGAATTTAATGTGTTGAAGGTGTTAGTGGTAGGTGATTTGGAGCCAATATAAAGTTTCTGGAGAAATTGATATTATTCAGGGCGCCTGGGTGGCTCAGTTGGTTAAGTGACTGCCTTCGGCTCAGGTCATGATCCTGGAGTCCCGGGATCGAGTCCTGCATTGGGTTCCCTACTCAGCAGGGAGTCTGCCTCTCCCTCTGACCCTCTTCCCTCTCGTGCTCTCTATCTCTCTCATTCTCTGTCTCTCAAATAAATAAATAAAATCTTAAAAAAAAAGAAATTGATATTATTCAGTCTGTATTATAAACGAGGTATTAACTTTCCCTACATAGTCTTTTTTTTAAAGATTAATTTTAGGGCGAGCGAGCCAGCGAGAGCAGGGTGAGGAGAGGGAGAAGGAGAGTGTCTTACGCAGGCTCCATGCTGAGCACAGAGCCCGACGTGGGGCCTGATCCCATGACCCTGAGATCATGACTTGAGCCAAAATCAAGAGTCGTATACTTAACTGACTGAGCCACCCAGGCCCCCTGTCTTTCCCTACGTAGTCTTTTTTTTTTTTTTTTTAAGATTTTATTTATTTATTTGACAGAAAGAGAGAGACGGTGAGAGAGGGAACACAAGCAGGGGGAGTGAGAGAGGGAGAAGCAGGCTTCCCACGGAGCAGGGAGCCCAATGCAGGGCTTGCTCCCAGGACCCTGGGATAATGACCTGAGCCAAAGGCAGACGCTTAACGGCTGAGCCACCGAGGCGCCCCTCCCTACATAGTCTTAAAGGCAAAGAGAGTTTTGCTTATTTTGTGTTAAATACATGTAAGCATATAAAAGTTAAGTGGAGATGTGGTATTGATAAGGCACACAGCTGCAAACAAGTTCTATTTTTCAGTGGTATATATGGTAATACACTGCAGAGTGAGTAGAATGAAATATTTACACCTTTTTGCAGTTAATATCCTTCTAAGGAAATCTCAACAACCGTGTTATTTACAGGAAATTGGGTGGGCAATAATATCAGTATATGAAGAGCCTCCTTTATGTATGGGTTTCCGATGTGAATGTTCTGAAAACTTAATTGTGGCATATTGTTTACTTTTGTGCATATTTACTGTTAAATCTTAGACTCACTGGTCTTTGGATTTGGTGTATATTGTTCTACCTTACAGAGAAATGTATTAGTATGCCAACTTATTCTTGTACCTTCAGCATATCTGAATTTATAGTCACGGGTCTGATGCTGCCTGTGAATGTGAGGGCACTCATCTGTGTCTGTATACATAGCCAGACCCTTAGCACCAAATGTTCTGCCTCACGTTTATTTTGGGAATATTCTCTTAATAGGCATGTTTTGGGATGTGACTTAGTCAGCTAATTTGCTAACATTCAAAAGCCACGAGCTCTCAGCATTATCTTAGCCTTTTAGTATTTTAGTCCAGCAAAAATTTCTGACTCTGATTGGGAAATTAACTATAACATCTTACCAAAAATGATCCAGAAGCATCAAAAGAGAGAGAGTTCATGCAAAGGGCACAGAGAGATGTTCAAAAGGAAAGTTAACATTAACTTAAGAGTGCATAGTAGAAATGAAGGAGTAAGCATAGAAATGAAGGACCACAAGTGACCTTGGAATAACTGTAGGTTCCTTTCTATAAGGCTAAATAATGTTGATTATAATGCATCTTAGCTTTTATTTCGAAAGATATTTTCTGCAGTTCTTGTCACCAAGTTTTTTTGAAATTCTTTTTCGTTCTTTTAAGATTGAATTTATTTCCTTATTTTCTACTTTGACACAGAAATCCCCTGCAAAGAAGCTGAGCCATGCAATTAGTAAATCTCTGGGGTGCGTACCCACCAGAGAACCCCCGCATCCTGTTTTTCCTGAGCAACCAGAGAAACCACTTGACCTTGCAAATATAGTGTAAGTATACGCCTGAATTTGGATGTGAATTATCTGAAATGGAGACCTTGCTGAATTCTTTTGGATCAAAGCCAGCTTCACCTAACATGAACATTTAACCTTCTGGTTTTTACTTTACTTTTGGGGAACTTAGGACTTCAAGATTTCATTTCTTTAAGTCACCATAAATATTTACATGGAAGCCTAGCTCCTGAGCCCTAAAGTAATATAATGTAATATATTATAATAATGATGTAATAAAAGTAATGTAAAGCCTAAGTAATGATCTCAAACAGAAACATTAATTAATATATTGAGGAGTAATTATGAACTGGTTTTAGCAAGGTTGCCTTTTTTTGTTTGTTCTTCCGTAAATCAGTGGTAGAGGTCATTTTTTCTCTGCAGCAATAATGCCCGTAGTTATTTTTAAAATTAGTTCAGGCAGCATGGAAATGAAAATCGACTTCACTTGCTTCTTTGTATTGAGAGAAAATTAGGAAAGATAAGATTGTATTCTGTAAATAAAACTAGTGTTTTATTTTTACTTTCTTTGAATATTCATGCTAAATGAGAGAAAGCCAGACAGGAACAAAAAAGAGAAGTAGAGAAAGAGGAAGAGTAAGGAGGAGGAGAAACAATGAAGCGTTAAGATTCAGCCTCTAAACTGGATTCTTCACTCTGAATTAGATGGTGGTGTTACATGTCCTCCTGCATAAAGTCAGTAGGATTTTTTGTTTTGTTTTGTTTTGTTTTGGGGAGGGGGGCAGAGGGAGAGAGAGAAAGAGAATCTTAAGCAGGCCTCATGTCCAGCAAGGAGCCTAACACAGGACTCAATCTCACAACCCTGAGATCATGACCTGAGCTGAAATCAAGAGTCAGATGCTTAACCAACTGAGCCACCCAGGCGCCCCAAAGTCAGTAGGTTTTTGATCATTAGTCTTTATTGGGTGTGGACAAGTTTTTCTGTTGGAGCAGACATCTATTTTCTTTTACCTCTATATAAAACACTTAGGGTTCTTGATCTTTTATTTTCTTTCTCATTCAATAATTTGAAAGACTTTTATTAAAATAATGCATACATATAAATCAGAAATTTAATAATACAGAAAAACATCATAAAATGTAGCACATCCTCCCACACTTCCTTGCCTTGTGCTCTGTCTAGGTTTTTGATGTGTGAGATCTCTTTGCATTTGAGTAGTAACCTGTTTCAGAGCCATTTATTGGATGATCTGTCATTCCCCCACTGACCTACAGTGCCACGGTTGCCATAAATGAAGTGTCCAGATGTGCGTGGTCTGGTTCTGGGCTCTCCTGTTCCTGTGGTCAAATTGTCTATCCTTATGCCAACATCATACTATCTTAGTTACTATAAGGGATTAAGTAATGTTTTTAGTAGGAGTGTCTTGTCTATTCTTTGCCTTTTGCTCTTTCGTATAAATTTTAGAATCAGCTTATTGAGTCCCTCATGAAATTTTGTTTGGATTTTGATCAGAGATTCATTGGATCTAAAGATCAAATTGGGGAGAATTGACATCTTTACAGTATTAAGTCTTCCATGTCATGAATGAGCTATGTCTTTCTATTTATTTAAATATCACTTTGTGCCTTTCAGTAAAGCTTTACAATTTTCCCTAGAAAGATATTATATATGTTAGATTAATTCTTCCATACTTTTAGATTCTTCTGTACATTTGTTGTTGCTGTTGCAAATGGTGCCTTTTTTTCCCTACAGTTTTTTTGAGATATAATTTACATGTGATAAAATGCACCCACTTCAAATGTACAATTCAGTGAGTTTTGGCAAATGTATACTGTCATGAAAATGGTATTTTCATTGAATTATGTTTTTCAACAGTGTATTGCTGGTATGTGCAAATGCAAATTGTTTCTGTATTTTAATCCACTATCTAGTCATCTTGCCTGAAGTGCTCATTAATTCTAGTAATTTGTACTGAGATGTTTTTGGATTTCCTATAAATAATTGTATCACCTGCAAATAATGGTAGTTTTTTCCCTCCCACTCCTGTACTTTTAGATATTAATCAGACCTTTTTTTTTTTTTTTTTTTTGGTCTTCATACGCTGGCTGAACCTCCAGTGCAATATTGAATAGAAATAGTTTCGTAGGCATTCTTCTGTTATTGCTAATCCCAGAAAGACAGCTTTCAGCGTTCATTTAGTGTGTTATTTGATGTAGGTTTTGTAGAAACTGTTGATCAGGTAAAAGAGCTTCCTTTGTATGCCTTGTTTGCTAAGAGTGCTTTTTTTGGGTCATGAATGGATGTGGAATTTTGTCAGAGTTTTCTCCCTTGACATGATCATGGGAGTTCCTTTATTAATGTAGTGAATTATATGAATTTTTTTTAAACAGCCATACATTCCTGGAATAAACATAAGTTGACTTTCCTTTTAATACCCTGCTAGTTTTCATTTGCTAATGTTTCGCCTAGATTTTGCCTATGTTTAAAAGTTAAATTGTCCTGTAATTTCCCTTTTTTTTTCTTTTATTTTGTTTTTAGGACAAAGTCTGCCCAGTTTTCTATCTTCAAAAAGTTGAGGGGAATTCTCTCTTTTTATATTTTTTGGAAAGAACTTATTTAAAATTGGAATTATTTGCTCCTTCAATTTTTGGTGAAATTCACCAATGATGTTATTTCTGCCAAAAGCCTTCTTTGTGGGAAAATTTTGAACTGTAAATTCTGTTTTTAAAGACAATTATAAGACTTCATTTTTATTTCTTTTTGAGTCACTTTAGAACATTTTATATTTGTAAGAATTTGTCAATTTCATTTGAATTTTCAAAGTTATTGGCACAAAGTTCGTAATGTTTGTCTATGGTATGTGTGCTAATGTCCCTTTTAAATTCCCACTCTCATGTATTTATCATTTTTCTCTCTCTTTGGTTTTTCCTTGAACACATCCTGCCATAGGTTTGTCCAGTCTATTGGACTTTAAGAGGACCAACTTTTGGTTTTGATGATTCTCTTACTGTATGCATTGTATTTTTGAATATTATTTGTTTCCAACCTTATCTTTATTATTTCTTTTGTTACAGTTTCTTTGGGTTTATCTTGCTACTCTCTTTCTAACTTCTTTAAAGATATGATTAGCTTACTCATTTCAGGTCTTTTCCCCCTGATATAAGCATTTAAGGCTATGAATTTCTCTAAGTTCTCTCTGAGTAGTGTCCAAGTTTTCTTATGTAATTTTGTTTTTCTAAATATTTTCAAAGTTGTGATACGAATTCTTCTTTAGGAATACTATACTTTCTTTTTTCTTCTTGTTTTTTTAATTTTCTTTTTTTTTTTTTTAAAGCAATCTCTACACCAGCATGGAGCTTGAACTCACAACCCTGAGATCAAGAGTTGCACACACTATCAGCTAAGCCAGCCAGGCACCCAAGCAGCATACTTTCTTAATAGCCAAACATACGAGGATTGTTTAGTTGCCTTTTTGTTTTTAATTTTTAGTTTAATTTCATTTTGGTCTAATAAGTGGTCCATACTATTCAATTCTTTCAAATTTGTTTTGACATTCTTATTATATGTAGTATATGATCCAGTTTTTATTATATTCCTTGTAAGCATGAAAATAATGTTTATTCTGTGCTTGTTTGGTTTAGAGTTCATAGTGAATGAATGTATATCAGCGAGGTCAAGTTTGTTAATCCTGTTGCTCATATCTTCAAAACTATACATATTTCACTAGGAAATTGAAAATTTGTTCTTATCTAGTGAGTCTCTTTATTCCTAATCTGTTTGTTCTCAAGTCTGTTTTATTCGCTAAACATCTTTTAATGTCTTTTGCTTGTATGTGCCTAGTGGAACTTTCCCCATCCTTATACTTTTAACTTTTCTGTATCTTTAAGTGTTCGGTATGCTTCTTGTAAATTGTAAGCTGGGTTTTAAAAATCTAGTCTGACAACTTGTCTTAACTGGCGAGTTTTCTCCATTTATAAATGTATTATTATAATGTTATTATAATTAGTCATAAGTAAAATTGGCTTTCATTATTACAGTTATAAAAGTATTACTACTATAATAATTGGACTTTTTTCTACTATCTTATTTTGTGCTATTTGTAATATTTTAAAAATTCCCCTTTATTTGCATGCCCCACTGTGGTCACCCTTTCCTCAGGGGTAATCATTCTGATATGCTCATTGTATGTCTTTTTACCAGTATATATTCTTGAAAACTAGGTTGTGTTTTGTACATTGTTTTAAAAAATTTATGTCAGGTGGCACTATGCAGATTTTACCTGTCCGTTCTCCCTACGTAGCTGCCTTCAGATCTCTGCCTCCACATTAAATGCTGCAGTAAACACTTCAGATGTTTCCCTGATGGACTGGGTAAGAATTTCTTTAAACTGAGGGTACAGTTGTTGGTCAAAAGTTATGTATATCCCGACCAGAGGAAGTGTGTTGGGGAATCCGGTATTTTAGTGCAGACCTGCAGTTAATTTCTCCCGTCTGAATTCAGCCGCATCTCCCTGCTGTGGCTGAATTCAGAGACTTTCTGGTCAGTTTCACTAGCGAGTAACCTCTGGTTTTTCACCAGGCCTAGAAAAGAGGAGCCTTTGGCTGTGTGGTTTTGGGTAGTGGAATGAAAGAGATAGGAGGTGTTCTGCTTTTTTAGGTGGACTTTTAACCAGTCCTCTTATTTTTAATGCAGCCCCTCTCCCCTCTTTCCGAGGCACCAGGCAGCTCTAATTACTGAGCATTCCTGATCTTGTGGCTTCATTTCCTTTGTTGCAGGAGGGCTTGGACCTCAGGTTTCTTCTTCTCTCTGTATTAAACCCTCTCCATCTCCAGTTTCTGTTAGAAGTTTGGTATGAATTCAGTCTAGGACTGAGAGCTAAGAATTGGAACCTTGAATTTTTCTTATTGATTCTTATCATTTTATTATATATGCCTCGGGTCTTTTTTTTTTTTTTTAATAAGACATTGTAGATAAAGTTGTGGTTTCCTGTGTCTTTCCTAATCCCGTTACCCTTTCTTTCCCCATAGAGTAGCCCCTA